CTTGCAAATTTGTTCTAACACTTAAAGTAGTTTTTACTCATTGTTGAAAGGGCAAGTGAAGAAAAGCTCGAAAGAAAAAAACTTGCCCAGGACCCACCACTAGAAGTCTCTGGCTCCGGGTCCTCACTTGTTACTTGACGGCATTCCGGACCTTCTCTTCCCGGGAGCAGGAACGGGGGCTGACTGCGGGGCAGCCAGTTAGAAAAAGCAGTGCAGCCCTGGCTGGTGTAGCTCAGTGGATTGAGCGCGGGCTGCAAACCAAAGCATCGCAGGTTCGATTCCCAGTCAGGGTACATACCTGGGTTGCAGGCCATGACCCCCAGCAACCGCACATTGATGTTTCTTTCTCTCTCTCTCTCTTTCTCCCTCCCTTCCCTTTCTAAAAATAAATAAATAAAATCTTTAAGAAAAAAGAAAAAGCAGCGCACCAGGAGAAAACAACGTTACATCACTGACAATCTCACGACCTAAAGATCACTCGTTTTTTATCTTCTCTTTCTGTGACTACTAATACATTTTAATATTTTCCTTTGTTTACTAGTCATTTAGTTTTCTTTGGTGGATGGTCTGTTCTGGCTTTTGCATACCGTGTTGCTTTTACAGTGTCTGATCATCTGTTCGGGATCTTCATATACACGGAGAGATGAACTCTTCGTCGGGTTTGCAGCGAACATTTTTTTCCCCAAGTTTGTGGTTTGGTCTTAAAATTTTTAGAACGTTTTTTGATCTATGTCTGTTTTCCCCTTCAGAATTTCCTTACTGGCTTTTATGTTCAGAAAGTCCTTCTCCCTCCCCAAATCAAGTATTTCCTTTTCGTTTGCTTTTGATCTTTCTCCTTCTCTTTGCATTTACCTTTAAAATCTGATAGTGAAAGTGGGAAACTAAGCTAGTGTTTTTCCAGGTACTGAATACTTAACCAATTGTCCCAGCGCCATCTTGTAACCCAGCCCCTCCACTGTCTCTGTGTCCCCAAAGGGTCAGTCACCTGCTTCACGCCAGTGTCCAGGAGAAACACACACACACACACACACACACACACACACACCCTGGCGTTCCCCTGGCTGCCAGCACTCACACAAAAACACTGGCGAGCAAGGTGTGATTTGTGATGCGGTGGAGAAGGTGAGGAGGGGTGTACTCTGGAGACCTCAGCACAAACAACTTAAAAAGTCCCTCCAGATATTTCTGTTCTGGGGAGCCGTTCCTGCTGCACCCCCAGGGAGACCTGGCTGCTCCTCTCTAACTCGTCCCAGGAACCTCAGAAACCCGCCCAGTCTCCTGCAGAACAACGGGGCTGCAGGGGCCGGCCCCAACCCAGCTCTCTGCAAACAAAGGCCCTCGGGCTACTGGCAACCACCTCGTCAGGAAGCTGAGAATGCCTTTGGGGTCTCAGCCCGGACCCCCTGGGGCTGATTAACCTGTTTCTTCCAAACACACCCAGTGGATGTTCTAGGTGGAATTCTCGCACCATCTGCTAACGATGCCCAGGTTGCTGTCTCGGGTGTCTCGAACAGGCAGGAAGCGAGAGTTTGGGAGGATCCCAAATCTGGAGACCCCCTCAGAGAGCTCATGTGAAAGGAGGCTTCCTCGGAAGCCCCAGAGCAGCCAGCCAAAGGTGCAAGGCCCCAGGGGCCTTCTCAGGGCCCCCCAGGGTGGCCTCACTGGCAGGCAGGGCCCACAGTGCCCCCTTCTCAAGGTGGACGGGGCTGTGGGGGACATGCTCTGGAAGGCTCCAGGCCCACACTCTCAAGAGCTACCGTGGGAGGCTGAGGAGTGGCCAGACCCCAACGGCCACCGGGAGCAGCTAGAGGAGTGACCATGGCCAACAGTGCCCATCATAGCAGCTGCAGAAAGCAGGTGGCGGCATCAGGGACTCGGGAGAAAAGAGGGCTGGTACCCCTCAGGTCGGGGGGACGCCAGTTCTACAACACTGGTCTGCAGAGTCAGGCAGAGGTCAAGGGTCAGGGGTCACGGGCGTGGGCGGAAAGCCTGGCCCTCCCCCCAGCTCTCCCCACCCCCCCGTGGCTGAGCCACCATGGCCTCATCCGCAACGGGGGTAATGACAGTACTTACCACAGGCGTTGTCGGGAGGACTGGGTAGCTCAGGGACTGAGTGCATGTGAAGAGTGAAGACTTCACAGCTGGGCATCACCATCAGATGCTCCGTCAGCCACACAGGATCTGAAATCACAGCGTCCGCAGGGCCAGGTCCTCTTGGTGGCTCCGGGTGGGGGACTCACTTCTTCCAGCTTCTTCTGGTGGCCCAGGCGGCCCCTGCCACGCGGCACTCCAGTCTCTGCCTCCGTCTCCCCGAGGCCATCTCCCATGTCTGCCTGTGTCTTCTCCCTTTCTCCTCCCCCTCACCGTGTCACTTGTACCTTGAGGTTTTATTTTGTGGAGATGAGTGAGTCAGTGTTACGGAAAGAATTTATTGCTTAGATTTCCCAAGGTGAGGGGCATGCGCCGCCACACAGGGCCACGTAAGAGAGAGACACCAGGGCGGCCAGGGGCAGAGGGCTGGAGCGAGGGGAAGGCCTGGGCCGGAGCCTTCACTGGGGTTCGCCCGGGAAAGGCAAGGCGGGCAAACGGAACAGTTTAGGGCCAGCTGGTGTGAATAATGCTGATGAACTTGGAGCTAAGGCGATAGTGTCTGGTCGCCTGGTACCCGGCCCTGGGATGACTCGGGGGCCGGGGCAATAACAGATACGAAGGTGCGTGAGGGCTCACCCTGGGACTGGCCGGTCTGTGCAGGAAAGGGGCGGTCCCGGCAACTGATTTGCAGGAGAAAGGTCAATAGTTTGGCCAGTGGTTTGGCTGTGATTAATGGATACCAGATAGACATGCAGCATCTTCAAAAAATAAATAAAACAAAAAGCAAAACAGTTCTCCTCTCGTAGGAAGACACTAATCTTTGGATTCAGGGCCCTAACTCCGCCCTAACTCCGAAGGATCTCAAGGCCCTTAATTTAACTCCGTCGGCCGAGACCAGCCACACGCACAGGTTCCAGGGGTGGGATATGGGTATACCTTTGCCGGGGCGGGGGCGGGAGGCACAGTTGCAGTGGGCTAAACTGGTCTGTAGTTCTCTGTTCACTAGTGTAGCCCCTGGGCGCAAGATGACAATGTTTGCTTTCTCAGGTGACTACACCTACAGTGCTCAGTCTGAGGAGGTGGCGTTAGCTGAGTGCCCTTGCCGAGGAGGAGGAGTCTGAGGGAGGGTGTGGGAGGGACCCTGTGCGATGGTGCCTGGACCAGGGTGGACAGCAGTCTTGGGATGGAGAGGCCGAAAGCCAAGGCAGGAGGGAGCAACGGCCCCAGTGGCCAGAGGAACCAGGGTGTTCGGGGGAGGTAGGATGGTGGGGCCTCGGGTTCTCGGGAACTTTTAGGCTAGGGATGCCATTCCTTGAGCTGCCTGTGGCTGTGTAGCAAAAAGCCCTGGCTCCACTGGCTGAAACAATTTGGAAACAAATCTCCCATTACAGGAAGTCTGGTGGCTGGGGGCTTCAGGTACAGTGTGATCAAGGCTTTGCCCTGCTTTTCTGCCTTCCTTCTGGCTCCACCATCCTCTACGTGGGGCTTTTTCTCAGGCCAGGTGCCCCTGTGGTCACAAGAGGCCCAATGAGACATGACTGTGGACAAGAGCAGAGGAGGACCACATGTTTTTGGGTCTGCTAATGAGCAAGGAAACTTCCCAGAGGCCCTAGCAGACCCCACCTCATCCCCAGGCCTGGGCACGATCCATTCACCATCCCTCGAGCAGGACTGGGGACAGATCCCCTATGTCGCTACGCACCTCCTGCTGTGGGTGCCCCAGATCAGTGACTCCTATCACCCCCACACTAGTGCAGCAGAGGGTCTAGGGCTAACCCACCTCAAAGGCAAAAGGCACCAGGTGCCCCAGGGAGCCTGGCAAAAGGGCCATTGCCCTGGAGCACTCACCCTGGTGTGGGCAAAGCTGAGAGTCGCTCACGGCAGCAACTATAGGAGTACGGCTCATGGGGCAGGGCATGGTTTCTGCTGAGTGCGGCCTGGGAGATGACCGGGGAGGCACCGCAGGCAGATGTCCCCTCCAAAGGAGTCCTGGGCTTGCTTGCGAGAAAGACCCCTGAAAGGGCAAGTCATCCGTGAGCCCCTGATAGCAGCCTGTCCGAAACCGGAGACTCCTCAGCATCATCGCGCTAAGACTCCGGGCTCTGGTCTTCCCCGGGGTGTGCCGACCTTTGTCCTTTCCTGTGCCCCCGGCCCAGCTGAGCAGGCAGACGTGGGGATTCTTTATCCTGAACCACAAGGGTTAATCCCTGTCCTACTTTATCCGGGCTGCAGGTTTGGTGACCGGTTCACAGACAGGCATCTTCTCCCAGCGACCTCACCTGGAGGAGGGGCCAGAGAGCTCAGTGGGTCTCTCTTCCTAGGGCACGAACCCCATTCACCAGGGCTCCAACCTCCTTACCTAACCCCCTCCCCGGTCCCTGCCTCCAAACGCTAGTGCGCTGGGGACAGCTTCCAACATATGAACTTGTGGGGGGAGGGTGCGGATACAGACACTCCTCTATAGCACCCACGGTCAGGGCCACCCCAGGCCCTTAGCCCCCACCTGTTCCTACTCACCGCCGCGGGGACACGGACCCTCCGCAGAAAGGCTGGTGTGGACAGGGAGCTGCTGGGCGTGGTCGGTCCCTTATAAAGTTTATTATAAGTTAACAGCTGCATCCCATTCATTCTCTTTGGTCAGAGTCACGCCATCGTGATTCCCTGTGGCGCCTGCACCCGCACCTGCACACACACACACACCTCCGCCCTTTTCTCTCCTCATGCACCGGCAGGCGTGGCTACCGACAGTCCCGGGGACTGGGCCCACTGACGCAGCCACTCTGAGGCTCAGGACCCTTGCTCTGCAGGTGCCTGTGACATCTCCAGGTGCCCACAGCCCCCTGTGACCTCATCGCCCGGACAACTCAGCCCAGCGGGGCCATCACCCAGCTCAAGCACAGAGGGCCTGGATGACCACCGAGCCCTCGGGAAAAGCCAGCGTCCCCACACATGGTGACCGCAGGTCTTCAGGGAGCCCAGCAGCGGGGGCCCAGAGTCAGGCCTCCCTCCCTGCAGGTGTCCCAGCGGCCGGCGCCACAGTGTCCACGGCACAGCAGGATGTAAGCCAGGCCTCCACCGGGGCGGCCGCCTCCAGGCCCGCGTCAGCGTCTGGGGCCGAGGGCCAGCTTGAAGATGAAGCTGCAGCTGGGCACGGGCAGCAGCCCGAGGCGGCCACGGGCCGGCCGGCCTTCCTGGTTCCAGACTCCCCGAAAATATCTGTGAGCCTCCAGAACCCAGTGCGGGACGGGCCAGCGCAAGATTGGCAGGTGACACAGAGCCCTCGGGTTTCCCAAAGTGAGCCCCTGGGTGAGAAAATGACACCACAGGCGAGTGTCCCAGGCAGGGAGGAAGACTTGGGTCCACCCACCCCTAGTGCTCAGGTACGGTTCCCCCAAAGCGTTCCCGCCGTGAGCACTGCAGAGGCAGACAGCCAGCCTGACGCTCAGGCCACCGGCACCGTGACAGCTGCTGAGAAACCTGAGGGTCCGGGGGCCTTGAGCCCTGACACTGAAGCGTCGCCATCAGCTGAGCCCCAGGCAGTGACCAAGGGGCATCCAGTGGACCGCTCAGGAGTCCCACAGGCTCTGCCGGTCCCTCCCGGCCCAGGAGGCAGTGCCCAAACCTTGCCTGGGGCCCCCACGGTGGCCCCGGAGGGGAGGCCCCTGGACTCCAGCCTGTACGGGGCCGTGGAGGAGAACCCTTACATGCGCTTCGTGACCACCTTGCTGGCCGCGGGCGAGGTGTCCATCGGCTTCCTGACAGACTTCCTGGTCTGGTCTGAGACCACCACGGACGTGGCCATGGGCCCCCTGATAACCAGACGCAGCTCTGCGACCAACGTGCTGTACGGCCGGGGACCCAGACTGCACTTGGACTCCGGCCCCCTGCAGAGCGCCAACGCAGCCTTCTCCTGGCTGCGCGCGGGCAGGGACTTGGTGCTGCGCTCCGTCACCCACTTGCTGGAGAGGGTGGAGCAGAGGACAGCAGAGGGCATCTGCTCGGCCATGTGCTACCTGACCAGCCACCTCTCCCGGCACCACTCTGACCTCTAGCCGTGACTAGACCCTGTGCAGTGAGTGCCCCATGATGGGCTTGGCAGCCTCCCGGGCCCCGGGCCCCGCTTGCCCTGCTCCCCTCACGCCCTGCTCCCTTGCTCCATACCTGCCCTGGACGCTTCTCCCCAAACTGGGCAATAAATCACCAGCAGCATTTATTTTCCAAGCGCCAGCCTTATCCTTTGTTCATGGAGTGCGGGGGGCAGGGGGGCGCTGGGTGGAGGGACGGGAGAGGGCTGGGGTGTTCTGGAAACAGACGTGTATCCCCGAGGGCTTCTCGGGTGGTTGCACTCAGGGGCCGAGGCCGAAGTGCAGAAGTGACCGAACCTGTGCAGGGGAGGGGGCCAGGGGAGAGGCCTCAGACCTGCGAAGATCGACCTTGGCTGGACCTCCAACCAGGTAAGTGCGCTCTGAGGAAGTGAGACCTGACCCTTCCCCAGGGCCTCCAGGCCTGGCAGGCTCAGGCCGCCCTGCTGGGGGCTGTCCGAGAGGGGGCGACAGCACCGGGCCAGGCCAGTGTGGGTTCAAACCCCAGTGCCACTGCTGGCCCCGGGCCGTCACTTCTCCCTCTGAGCCTCTGACTCTCCTCCATAGAATGGATAACAAAGCCACACCGTGAAGATGTCGTGAGACAAAAGGGAAACCTTGCAGGTCCCGACACATGCCACGTGGCACTTAACGAGCTCCCACATTTCAACCGCCACTGTTCTCATCCTCCAGCGAGCCAGGCACAAGGTAGAGACGAGGGTGCACACAGTGTGACCAGCCGTCCCAGTTTGCCCGGGACGAGCAGGGCTCCTGGGACACGAGACTTTCAGATTCAGAACCAGCGAAACCCCAGGCAAACCAGGACAGCGGGGTCCCCCTGGACCCGGGTCTCTTTACATGGCTTTCACTCTCGTCTGTGACTCTGTGTCCGCCTTGGAAAGGCAGCCTCCTGCTTTGGAAATCCACCAGCCTACCCTCTGGCTGGATACAGTGTCACGCTGGTCACGTGACCGGGCAACTGGAGCTCCCAGTGGACCTCAGCCCCACTCCTGCCCTTGGCCGGGTGTGTTACACAGGCCACGTCCCGCACCCCTTCACGCTGCAGCCCTGGCCATTGGCTGGTCCATTCCTCCCTGCCAGCAGCATCTCCAAATGGGGCCCTTCACTGACACCAGCCCACCGATAAATTTATTTGCCCTACATGGTGTCTCTCAAGTTGTGAATTAATTGCTAACATTTAAAAATCCGGAGAATTGCCCGGATGGTGTAGCTCAGTGGATTGAGCACTGGCCTGTGAACCAAAGGGTTGCCGGTTTGATTCCCGGTCAGGGCACATCCCTGGGTTGCAGGCCAGGTCCCCAGTAGGGGGCGCAAGAAAAGCAACCACACATTGATTTCTCTCTCCCTCTCTTTCTCCTTCCCTTTCCTGCTCTCTAACAATAAGTAAATAAAATCTTTAAAAAAAAAATTTCCAGAAAATTGGCCCTGGCTGGGCTGCTCAGTTTGTTGAAGTGTCGTCCCGATACACCAAGCCTATGGGTTCCATCTCCGGTCAGGGCACGGATGAGAACCAACCAATGAGTGCACCAGCCATAAGTGGAACAACAAATCAATATTTCTCTGCTTCCACCCCCTGCCTCTCTCTCTCTAAAAATCAATAGGGTTAAGGTCTTGAAACCTAAAGAATTTATCTAAGTGTGTGGATTTCTGCTTCTCTTGAAAAACCCAGGGGCCTTGTTACTTCAGAGCAACTGGCAGCCGGGCCACCCCCTCGAAGAGAGACCTGCTGGGCCTGCACCTGTGACTGGTGCCATCGGCCTGGCCCCAGAGGCCCCCGCTTGCCACTCCCACCCCAGAGGTGGCTCCTGTGAGGAAATCTGATACCAGGACCCAGGGGGGTGCAAAGGGGAAACAGGTGTGTCAGCCGCCCCTTACTGCTCCGTCCGTGAGCTGTGAGCCGTGAGCCGTGAGCCGTTTGCATGCAGTGAAAGCATCCATTCGGAGGAAGGAGATTGTCGGTTTAGATCAGGTCCCTCCCCACCCCCAGGAGACGTGGTTGAGGCAGACCTAAAAAGAGAGGACAGGTGGGATCCCCCGACCGAGGCCGAAAGAATAAGGGCTGAGCCCTGGCTGCTGTGGCTCAGCGGCCTGAGCGCCGGCCTGAGACCCACAAGGTCGCTGGTTGGATTCCCAGTCAGGGCACCTGCCTGGGGGGGGCGGGGGGGGGGGCGGTGCATGAGAGACGACTGATGGACGTTTCTCTCTCACATCGATGTTTCTCTCCCTCTTTTCCCCTCTAAAAAAAATAAAATTTAAAAAGTCTTTTTAAAAAAGACAAAGAGTGAAAGCCAAGGCAGACAGACGGGGTGGGTGCTGGGCTGGGGTGCGGGGGGAGGGGGGCGTCCAGCAGCTCCGCCTGGACGGAGCCCCGGGGAGAGGGCGGCGCTGCCGCTGCCAGAGGGGCCCCGAAGGCTGTCAACAAGCACCTCCGAAGCAGGTACGTGCCGCTGCGTGCCAGCCGCTGCCAGACACCGGGGCGTCCAAGGCGGACCAAAGACCGAAGGGATGGCGACCAGCCCTCGAGAGGTGAGGGCACTGCTGACCAGCACCGCTGCCGAGTGAGGCCGGACCCGGGGCTCAGCCTCGTCCTCAGGGTCCTGTCTCTCCAGCCCCACCTCCCACCGGAGCTGGCTCCGTTCCCATTCCCGGGTGGCTCAGCCGCCTTCCTGGAAAGAGAGAGGCCCTCGTTCCCACCCACCGGCTCTAGCAGGAGAGTCCTGGGGGAGGGTACCAGCGGGCCTACACCAATCACGGAGGGCACAGGAGTGGGACAGCAGGTCACCTGGCCTGGGCCTCATGCCCACCTCTGGGGCCAGGGTCAGCCCAGAACTGGGGGATCCCCCCCCTGGGAAGCGTGTTAAAGCGGGCAGAGTTGTAAAGGGCATGGCCCTGGGGTCCAGGCTGCCTTGGATCCTGGCTCCACCTCCTACCGGCCCTGTTGCTTTTACCGCCCTGGGCCGCAGCTTCCCCATCTGTGAAGCGAGGATAACAGCACCCACTGCGGTGGGCTGTTGCGAGGATCGAGTGAGTTCACGGGTCAGGTGAGCGCGCAGACCAGTGCCTGGAGGCGCAGCAGGGCGCTCGCGGTGCGAGTGGCCGTTGAGATTCTGGTGGCGGGAGGCCTCCGTGCAGCTCTGTGCCGCCACCCACTGTCCCGCCTGCTCCGGGCCTCCCTCTCCGCCGCGGGGCGAACAGCTGTGTTGGCGGCGAATACCCCTGGCAGCACATCCTCTGCGCGGTGGGACCCCCAGGAATGCAGGTGCCAGCGCACCTGGGGAGAAGGTCAGGGCTGCGCACTCTGGGCTGAGGGGTCCAACACAGAGAGAAGTGGGTGCAGCCCCGTTCCGGAAAAGGTGGCTGGAGCGGAAGGGCCGGAACGCAGGAGCTTTGGGGGAAGGCCCCATCCCCAGGCAAGAGGCAGCAGTCGGCAAGGCCCCGGGAGCAGAGCAGCGAGCAGCAGTGGCCAGCGCATCGCGGGCACGTGGGCCGCCTGGGTGCACGCGGGAAAACGAACAAGGGGGGCGGTACTGGGGAGAGGCAGGGGGCAGGCACGGAAGGTGGTGTGCGTGGGGGGGGGCAATGAGCGGTCAGAACAACAGGGTGGCTGCATGTGGGTGCTCTCTGGGGCTGAGGACTGAGGCGTGACGAAGTGACAAATTCACCCCTGCAGAGCTGGCCCCTCCTCACTGCTTCTCCTTTCTTTATGTGCGCGGGCTACCGCCTGACAACCTGACACCTGCATGTCTCTAGGAGAGACAGCCATCTTTCTGGGTGTGCGTCCGCCACTAGGAGGCTCGCCAGCAAGCAGAGGACCTGCTTAAAGAATCATTTGGGCTGGGCCAGGAGCCAGCGGGCGGGCACAGCGGCCTAACATCTGAGCCCAGCAGGCAGGCACTTGGCTAAGGGAAGGGCAGGGACGCGTCCTGGCAGATGGCTGAAGGGACACTGCGGTCTCCTCTCCAGGTGGACTGCCCCCTTCAGCGAAGGACTTATCTCCCCAGCTGCTGTGAGTGCTCTCAGTGCGCAGCCCCTCCAAAGAGCCACCTGGCCCAATGGCATGCCCCCCTCAAGCGGCCCGATCCAGCGACCGGTCTATGCAGGGGGCGAAGACCCAACTGCCCTGGGCCAGCTTGGAGCGATCCCGGCTCCAGAGCTCCTGGGGTGGGGGGTGACGGGGGTGACGTGGGGTCTGCCTGGCAGGCTCCCTCCCCCTCCGCACGCTCCGGCTTCCTTCCGGCTCTGAGCCTGTGCTCAGCAAAACCCAACCTGTGGCCAGAGACTGCTATTTTCCCCCACCCGAGATGCGTATGATTGGGGAGTGCAACCCACAAATTCGAACCATGTTAGAAGTTCAAAGATTTTTGTTTAAAAGAATCTCTCTTTTTTGGTAAGAACATGTAGAAATTTGAGGCCACTTTGAATAGGGTAAAAGTAAAATAAGTCTTTGTCGGCGTTTTTACTTGTTTTGAAAGGACAATATCCTTGTTTAGTCTATGGCCACTTGGCTAATTGGTTCACGTCGCCACAGGACTGCGGTCAAGTTCTTGGGTTTGGCTGGTTGAGGTACAGGTTCTATCCAGGAAAGTGTCTCCTGCAGAAAGCGATCACAGATAGGGCAGTCCCCCGGGGAATGTGATGACGTGTAAAGGTAAACTAAGGTCTCCTGTGCATATTTAAATATTTAAATGACAACCTGGACCCTCTCTGGGCCACGAAGGCAGCCCTATTTCTTAGGCCTCCCGGAGGTTGAGCTTGGAGCTCCTAAGAGTGTTGTGGAGTGCGCCCTCTGCTGGAGAGAAGGCCCCCCTGGCCTGCAGCGGGAGGGCTCCAGCACACCCAGGGGACCCTTCAGGATTTGAGGTTTACCTTGTGAGAGAAGTGAGTTAAATAAAAACTGTTTTTCTACTCACAACACTTCTAACACCCAAAGTGCGGGTTTTCCACGCCAA